GAGTATTTGATCATAACTTCTGTCTTTGAGATAACGGAGAGTATGCCTCTTAAGGTATTCCAGATGAAACCATCCAAGAAAGAAAAAGCTGTTAAAGTGTTTGTGACCTATAGACATGCAACAATAAACCATGATTTGGAGTCACTAATGGGCAATGTTTTATTTTTTACAGCATGCAAGCCCCCAAAAACCGTGGTAACCACAGCAATGCAGTAGCGGTCATGAGTAGGATCCTCATTATTACCACTGCACCACACAGAGGATTTAGCAGCAGGCTGTAATTACAGACCACAGGTGAGGTGGTGGGGGGAGTGGGTGGTTGCCATGGGGGTGTGGTGTTAAGGGCAGTGCCTACAGTTGGGTTGCACTGTGCTGTAGTATTGTGTGTATTCTTTTTATGATGTGGCGCCATCTCATGGTTAAAACCTGTAATGATGACAGCATGATATAGTGTTGGTGTTTTTTCACAAATAGGTTAGGTAGAAAAAAAACGTGTTAGAAAGCTCTCCTCTATCATCTTTTATTGCTCGCATGTAGTTGATACTCTAACCAGAGCTCTGCGTTCCATACAGCCAAGATCGGGTGTTTGAGAAAGCTGATAGCCAGATGTTGTCTGTCACCACAAAAGCCAAGAAAACAGTTTCACGTGCCTCTGAAAGGCAGCCAATGGAGACTTGTGGAAAAACAGCTAAGCAAGAATTATCTGGCAGCGATAACATTTGGACCTAAATCAGTCAGAATATTACATGGATCAACAGGGATGGGAGCAAGGGCAGAAACCTCGCAGCTGAAATAGTTTAAACTTGGAACCACATAGTAAGATATCTTAAAGGAAGATGTCTTAAAAGCTTATCATTAATAAGTTTTCCTGAAATGAACAAATAAATGAAATGAAATGAAATGAAATATGTCTGCATGATAAGTGGCATTGATTTAAAGTTTTCCAGAGCAGCACTTACATCAGGAAATGTTAATGACATATAATTATAGCGTAATTTTAACAATTGAGGCTAAAGAAAATTGAAGCCAATACAGAAGTGATGCTGGCTACAAAAGTGAGTTAATCCCCAAAACTCCCAACTTACAGCTAATTAGCTTATAGCTAATTTCCACCCTTCGTATTCATCTGTACTGGAGGGATTTTTTATTTTATTTTAAATAACTCACCTGTTTAGGTAGATCTCAACACAGACACCTGTAGCCACTAACTGTGTGCCTCACATTTGCTAATCTCAAACGTGTTTGTGGTGCAAATGAGTTTTACAACATTTTTCATGGAGTTATCTGGCAACCAGTGACCCCTGTTGTACATTCAATTCAATTCAATTCAATTCAATTTTATTTATATAGCGCCAAATCACAACAAAAGTCGCCTCAAG